GCGCTGTCAGGCCAAACTTCCATCTCCAAAGGCAGACCTAAACAGCGATGTTCTAGGATAGAACATCGATGTAGAGACCTGACCGTTGGAAGGAATTTAAGGCTAAAACTTTCCTTGTTTGGAAGTCAACAGCCAAAACAGCGATGTAGGGGTTTTGGACATCGCTGTTGGCATGACCGTTGCTTCCCAATTTTTAAAAATCAAGCCTAGAACAGCGATGTCCAGGCCTAGGACAACGCTGTCTGGGTGAATTTCAGCAGATCCAATTTTAATCAAATCCCACAAATTATGCCAATCACCCCTTAAATACTTTGGTCCGTTGGAGCCTATTCTTCTACTATAAAATGGGGTGTTTAGGTCTGTTTTACATATCACATTACTTCACAACTCCTACTCTTTCATTGCAAATCATTCTTCAGATTTTCATAGGTTTTGAGAGATATTTTTGTGAAGCCTGTGTTGTGTTCTTGAGCGTTTTTAGTTTACTCATTATCCACTCTAAAAGAGAGTATTGTTCTTGAGTGTTTTTAGTGTTCTTAGACACTTGACAAGAGAAGGTATCTCTCTTGTTGTTCGAAGGAAGGGTTGTTTCCTTCGAAGGTTCGTTGAGGTTCGTGTGACTCGAATTCTCAAGTTGTACGGGTTTGTTAAGCACCGTTAAGCTTAACAAGATAGTAGTGTAGCTCGAGAGAGTCTCTCGGGAGGCTGGACTAGCCACAAGTTGTGGTGAACCAGGGTAAAATCAGTGTGCCTCGTTCTTTTCTCTTTACTTCTCGCTTATTCATTTTTATTCCTGCGAATTCTTGATCAAACGCTATTCACCCCCTCTAGCGTTGGTCTATTATTCTAACAATTGGTATCGGAGCCTAACTTGCGTCCAAACTTAACCGTTTGAGAGTAAAGCGATAATGGGCTCTTCTTCTAGAAATCTCTATGCAGGAATTGGAGAAGGTCAATCAACCTCTAGGCCACCTCTCTTTGATGGCACCAACTACTCTTATTGGAAGGAACGGATGAGAATCTATATTCGTTCCACCAACTTCCAATTGTGGTTGGTGATCAAAAATGGCGAAGAAATCCCTATGAAGAAAGTGGGAGAAACCACGGTCCCAAAGACCGAAAACGAATTTGATGCCGAGGACATCAAGAAGATCGAAAACTATGCAAAGGCCATCAATATGCTATATTGCGCGGTCAACCCCGATGACTACCGAAAGATCTCCTGTTGCACAACCGCCAAGGAGATGTGGGACAAGCTTGAAGTGACGTACGAAGGTACCGATCAAGTTCGCGAAGCCAAGATCGACTTTCTCACCTAAGAGTACGAGATGTTCCGGATGAAAGAAGGTGAGAAAATTGATGACATGTTCGACCGGTTCTCAAAGATCATCAACGATCTTCATGCTCTCAAAAAGACCTACACCAACAAGGATCTTGTGAGGAAAATCCTGCGGAGTCTCACACCCGAATGGAGGTCAAAAGCCGATTGAATATCTCCAATGACTTGTTGGGGAGGATGATCCCTTAACCAACGAAGATTGTGTTGATTAGGGTTGACTGGTTGATCTAGTTCAGCTTCTGGTTGAAGAACAGACTTTGTTGGTAATTCCAGATGGATTGGCACTAGGTCGCCTTTTCCGGAATTGTCGCTCTTTGAGTGATCCGGAATAATGGAAGGCTGGCCGAGATTTCCGGTAGGCTCAGCACCGTCTGAATCCGGATTTCTTTGTGAAGTCTTCAGTGGTAGACTTCCGAATGGAATGAAATCCGTAGGCTTCATTCTATCTCCTTCATTGATTTCTTCATCCTTGTCTGAGAGATCCAGAACCTCATGATTATGCTTTGATGGCTTGTCAACCACATGTTTTTCATCAAAAATAACATGTATTGACTCCTCAGTGATCATGGTTCTTTTGTTGAAGACTCTGAACGCCTTGCTCACCATAGAATATCCAAGGAAGATGGCCTCATCTGATTTCTCATCAAAAGTGTTCACATGATTCTTCCCGTTGTTTAACACAAAACACTTGCTCCCAAAAATATGGAAATATGATATGTTGGGCTTTCTCCCGTTCCACAATTCATAGGGAGTTTTGTTGTGCCTTTTATAAATCATACTCCTATTTTGAGTATAGCAAGCTGTGTTAACAGCTTCAGCCCAGAACCTCTTTGGCAAAGAAGCTTCGGCTAGCATGGTCCTTACTGCTTCTTTCAAGGTTCTGTTTCTTCTTTTAGCTACACCATTCTGTTGAGGCGTTCTTGCTGCAGATGTCAGATGAAGAATTCCGTTTTCTTCACAGTAATGAATGAGGATTTCATTCAGGAATTCTGTGCCTTTGTCAGATATGATCTTCTGGATGGTCTGACTTGCTTGGTTTTGAATCAGCTTCTTGCAGTTTGTGAGCTTCCCTTGAGTTTCCTTCTTGCTATTGAGGAAGATTGTCCACGTGTATCTTGAGTAATCATCAACTACCACTAAGACATATTGTAACACCCTAATCCGTCCAGGTCTGCAGCCCCTTTCGGACTAAAGTATTGATTTGGTAATTGTGATAATTTAAAACATTTCAAACATTTTTATTTATAAATAAATAATATTCCATACATAATTGTAGAGAAATCGAGTGTTTAAATAAAATGCAGAAGCGACTTTAAAATATGTCTCATAACAACATAGTTATTTATTTCATTCAATAATCCACCACGATTGTCTCGCCCCTTCTACTGCCAGGAATCAGCCAATCATTCATTCTGCCTACCTGCGTGTAGCAAATAAAACACACTACACGCTCAGCGGTGAAGCTGAGTAAGCATAATCTAAAGCGTCGAACATTCACATAAATTGAATCTCGATTCATAATCAACCATTTGATATCATGCACACAATATATAATTCAAACATTCATGATATTCTCAATATTTTATTCCAAGTCATTTGATATTCAATATCTCAACAATGCTCTTAAATTATTCTTAACCTAAGGCCAAATCATTTTATAACAACTCTTAGCTATTCCTAGTCTAAGGCAACATTTCTAACCAGGCCCTTAAACTATAAATAGTTTAATGCAGAACACAAGAATTGATAATCCACCCTATGAGTCATGTGGATTACGTACCAACCGAACAGTGAACTGTCGGGTGGGTGATATCCGGTCTGGATCCCGTACGTACGTTTTAACCCTGAAATATGAATTGGTCAAGGAGGTATATCTTAGAGTTCTTCTAGATATCCTTAATAATCATCATCATTATACAAGTGGGTATATCTTAGAGTTCTTCTAGATATCCTTAACAATATACATCATTTTCGTAATCATCATTATATCCATTTTTAATCATGATTTAATCAATAATCATACTAATCACTAGGTTAATCATTCATAATTGGCCACAATAATAGTTCATCATAATGATCATTCAACATAACATTTAATAACAATTAGCGGCCTAGTCTCGAGTGTTAACACCCAAACTTACCGTCATGCATCACATAAGATTTTAATTTATTAAAAGCATCATTTTTATTGTGAAAAAAATCATTTTTATAATGATCATAATCAATTGGTATCAAAAATAGGATTTTCGATCTCAAAAATAGCATTTTTCGTAGTTGACTGTCTTCAGAACGGTCGACCGTTTCAAGTGACGGTCGACCGTCATTGCCTCCGTTGTACTGAAGCCACTGGTCTGGTAACGGTCGACCGTGGTGACGGTAGGGTCGACCGTTGCTTCCTTACAGCAACAGTAATTCGTCTTCAACCTCGGTTCCAATTTTCGAAACATCATTTTAAGTCACCAAACTTCAATTAAACTACATAGAAATGTTCCCCATTGTTCTTAGATCATTTAAATACCATTAATTCAAAGTTTTAACAAGAATTTCAAGGTTTATGATTCTTGGTTTTTCAAGCATGTCAAACACAAAACTCAACCAAATGACCATTTATGAACGTAAAGACGATCTATACGAACATTCTAGCCATTAGATATATCTACGGGCTTACATTGTAACGTAAGGGAGGTTTTGACGATTATCCGGCGACAAAAGCTCTCAACTCCGGCGACCTCTCTCTGAATTGGAAGCACCAACAAACTCTCCTCACTCAGGGCAGCAAAATAGAAAGAAATTTGTGATGATTTGGTGAGGGATTGAGGGAGTTAGGACTTCTTAATAGAGGGAAGAAGGAGAAGAAGCCAATTGAGGAAATATCCCACAATCACCAAAATCGGCTAGTGCGCCGATTAAACAGCAAGCGCCGATTGGAGTGTAGTCCCTGATTGGGACTAATTTCTGGTCCCAATTGGGGTACACTTTTTGGTCCAACTTTCTCCAAATTGAAATCCGACTGAACCGTTGGGGTCAGACAGTCAAACTCTACACAATGATAAAATTTTCATTATTTATTGACAAACTTTATAAATCACTTATTTTTGGGTCCTTCTGAGTAATTAATTAATTATCAATTAATTAATTCTGATAGGCCAATTTTCAGGGAGTTACACATATTTCTTTCCACTTAGACTTATTGGAGTAACAGGGCCAAATAAGTCCATGTGAATAACACTTAATATCCTTGTAGTTGAGGGTGCCGGTTTTGCCTTGAAAGTGGACTTGACTTGCTTTCCTTTCTGGCAAGCATCACAAATGCTTTCCTTCCTGAATACAGCTTTGGGAAGGCCTTCTACTAACCCTTCTTTGGATAGCTTGTTGAGAGTTTTGAAGTTGAGATGACTCAACCTCTTATGCCAAAGCCATAGAAGGTTAGTGTCACCTTTGCTGATTAGGCAAGCTTCCTTGACATCGTCCCACATTACTTCATAGATGTTTCAGATTCTCTTTCCAGTGAGAATGACTTCATTTGTGGAGATGTTTTTGAGAGATGCCATGTCCTTGCATAATTCCAAGGAGTAACCTTTATCACAAAACTGACTTATGCTCAGAAGGTTATAATTGAGACCTTCCACATAAGATACAGCTTGGATGGTTAGTCCCTTGTACGCCAGATTTCCTGGCCCTTTAGTGAGGCCAAAGTCATTGCTTCCTCCAAAAGTAACTCTTGGACCATCATAGGGACTAAAGACCTCTAGACGCCTCGCACACCTCTAGAGGGGGGGTGAATAGAGGTGTTGCCCAAAAGACCAGTTTTTTTTTTGTGCGGAAACGTTCTTCACGAATATTCAATAAAATCAATGCACCACAAACAAAGTAAAGTGAAGGATAAGAGCAATGCACACACAATATATACTGGTTCGGCCTAAATGCCTACATCCAGTCCCCGAGGCCTTCACTAACCCATCAAACTTAACGGAGTTTGACAATCCGAATACAACTCGAGAACTTGATTTCACAAGCCTCTTATCTTACCACCGAAGTTTTGATTTCACAAAACTCAGGATTTCTTCCACCTAACGTTTGATTTCACAAACCGTTAGGATTTCTACCACTTGGTGTAATCCCAACACCAAGAATACAAATCCCTTACAATAAAGTAAGAAAACAAACCGCAACCGAGTAATTCTCCCAACACGGAGTAGATTGTTGCAAATACAATGAAGTCCTTTAGAATATGGCAATATCTCTCAAAGACTCAAGCAATGAGGAAAAACTCAAGCAAGAAATGATTTAGCAATCAAAACAATTGCCTTGCTTGGATATAACGAGGGGATTGAGTAGAATCTCTTTGGATATTCAAAGGATATGTTCTTCAAAGTGTTCTAAGTGTTCTCATCAAGATAATCACGAAGAGGGTTGTTTATAGAAGTTAGGGAGTGGATAGAGATGAAAAGAATTCAAAAAAACTAGTTGTTTGGTAGTTGAAACTGTCGACTTATTCGAATAACTCAAGAACTATTCGAATAGTTTGGATCAATCGCGTGGCTTGAAAAACCAGTTCCTATTCGAATAAATGGTTATTTATTCGAATAAATCAGGTTAATTTCAGTCACAGGAAAGATCACGACTTATTCGAATAAACTAAAGATTATTCAAATAGAAAGGCAACTTCCCCACACAAAGGCTGATCTAAAATGAGTTTTAAAGGTAAGATGATAAGGGAATGAACCTTGGATATTCCATACTCTTTAACACATAATCTAGGACCTAAAACACTACCCAACTAAGGAAATAACCTCTTCGGTCTCGTTCCTTCCACCGATGCTCAAGTCCCTTCTTCACGGACGGATATGAACTTGTTGTAGATTTGATTCTTAGCCTTGATGCACAAAATGATGATGATGTTTTGTCACCCTTTTGTCATTATCAAAACCTAAAAGACAATGGGCAAAGGACATTGCAAAAATACATATTCATGATAGCACATTGTCCAACAATTAGATTGCTCAAGAGGCTCGCATCACCCGTCATGTGTCTTCAACAGCCACTGTCTAAGTACCAGACACCTAGGTACTTAGCGGCTTCCTGCATTAGGAGGAGGAAGATTTTGGTACCCAATTCAGTTTGGTCCGGAATAGTTAATGGTGTGTGTCCCTACATCAAGTTTGAAGTTGCAGGGAATTTTCCTTGCAGCCCTAAACTTGTTGGGATTGTAATCATAGATGTATGCATAAAATTTCCTACGAACAGGTGGTGCATTTTTCTGTTTCCACCTGGCAAACCTAGGTTGACAAGACCTATAGTTTTGTCTAGGTTGTGCATAGTGTGGCCTGTGTCGGTTGTAAGCATACTTAGGTGGAACAAATAGTTTCTGGGGTGGAGGTTGACTATATTTTGGCACAGTTCTCCACTCAGAATTTCTTGGAAAACTCCTATCTACCCCATAATGAGTATAGCCTCGCGTATAGTGGGGGTTAGAAGGTTTTCTTCTGAAATTATTTCCTCTTTGAGGTCTGTCCAGCTTCCTATAGTTCTTAGGAGGGACTACCTTTTTGGAAATTTCTGTGGGTTTCTCCTTTTCCTTTCCTTTCTGCTTATTGGATTTGGCAGTAGGTTTAGGAGGGATAAAAGTTATTCTCCCTTTCCTTTTGGAACTGGAGGGGTCAAACCCAAGTCCTTCACGACCCTTTTGTTTGGTCGCTTCAAGAAGCTTATCCACTGCTTCTTTGGACTTAACTATCCCAAGCTCCTTGTTTAGGGATTTCACCTTTTCAGAGAGAGATTTATTTTCAGTCTTGAGTTGAGTGATCTCATCTAGTTGACTTTTCCGACCTTCAGTCAACTTGAGATTCTCTTCACTCAGTAGCTTGTTCTCCTCTGTTAAGGATGAGTGTTTGAGATTTATTTCCTCAAAATCTTTCATCATCTTTTTGAACTTTTCAAAAAGACTTTCAGAAGTTGGTACGCCTTCATAAGAAGATGAACAGGAGGTTTGAGAGGTTACCTCTTGTTCGGCATCATCTTTGGCCATAAGACAGAGAGTGTCATCTTCTGACATAGTCCACCGATCCTCATGGTTGGACTTCTCAGCTCTGCGCTCCATGCAGACGAGGGCTTCTTCATCCCAGATTGAGCTGGATGACTCGTCACTTTCAGCTGCAACCATTGCTTTCCTCTTCTTTTCGTTCCTTTCTCTTTCTCCGTACTTCTCCACCTTTGGGTACGGGCACGCTGACTTCCAGTGACCAGGTTTCCTGCAGTTATAACATAAATAAGATTCAGGAGGGGAGTCACTTACCTGTGGCTTTTCCTTGGATGGCCTTCTGACTGAGTCAGCTTTCTTGAAAAAACTTCTTGAACTTCCGGAATTGTTTGACCATCATGGAAAATTCCTCATCATAGTTCTCCATTCTTGAGCTTGACGGCTGGCTGGAGGAAGGTGTGTCACAGTTCCTTGGGCATGTCCCTTCACTCGGTGGGACTCTGGGAGTTGTCATCAATGCCTTGGGGAAGGGAGTGACTTGTTTTTCCTTCTTCTTCATCAGCTCATGCTCATAGGTTCTGAGCTCATCAAGGAGACCTTGGACAGTGTAGTTCTCCAGGTTTCTTCCTTCTTCCATGGCTGTGGCTTTGGTGTACCACTCAGTTGGAAGAGATCTCAGTAACCTTACATTCTTTTCTTTGGGAGAAAGAATGTGGTTAAGTGATGCAAGATCATTTAAGATTTTGTGGAATCTTTCATCCAACATATCAAATGATTCTCCGGAAAGCATTTTGAAGCTTTTGAACTTTTCAAGCAGGACTTCTATCTTCTGCTTTCTCAGGTCCTCCGATCCCTCACACAGCTTCCCAAGACCTTGTCAAATCTCCATGGCAGTCTTGAGATGCTTGATCTTGGAGAAGGTGATGGGTTCAAGTTTCTTGAAGATGGCTGCTTTGGCGACGTTGTCCAGATTGTGCTTCTTACAATCTCTATCATCCCATTTCTCCTTGGGCTTTGGAATGTACTGAACAACATCAGGATTGGCTGGATTCCTCTCAGGGTTCTCCATTTGGATTTTCAAGGGTCCATCCTCAAGCACCATCCACATGCAATCATGTAGGGCGTAAAGGTGTGCTTCCATCATGATCTTCCAATCATCATAACCTAGAAGAGAAAACTTGGGCAAACCATGATCCATATTGTTCACCATTATGATCGCTTCTCGTTAATCTAAATGTAGATTATGAGAAGTTTGCTCTGATACCAATTGGTGGTCCCAAAGTGGTGAGATACAAAGTCTAGAGGGGGGGGGTGAATAGACTTTGTTACAATCTTAAAACTTTTTCGTTTCTTTTGAAAACGTGAAAATAGTGTAAATCTAGAGTTCTTGGGAACTTTAGATTGTGTGCGGAATTTGGTGGGTAGTATGAGCAGTAATCAATATGGATGGGTTAGTTTTCACAGTTAATATAATTGCAAGTAAGAGTAAAGATAAAAGAGAGAGACACGCAAACTTTAACGAGGTTCGAAGGTGTGGTAATCCTTCTACGTCCTCAAAATCCACTATGTAGTTGGTTGTTGAATAAACAACCAACAATTACACTTGTGTGAATTTCTGCACGGTATATCTTCGCAAGGCCAAAGTTGCTACTGCACTCATGCTGGCTTTGTTGTTCCTTCGAAGGTCACGCTTCTTCAACAACTGCAAGATCCGAACAATAGGACCTGCAAGATCAACTTGTGAGAAAGTTGATCTACCCCCTTTTAATCAAGAAGTTTGATCAAAAGTTATATCCTTCAACGTGGTGTGGTACTTGAGGCAAGGAAACCTTCAAGTGTTTACACTATAGCTCTTTGGAAGGAGGAGAAGTTTGCTTCTGGATAAGGAGTTTTAGAAATCTCTCTTTATCAAGCTTTTTGGGCAACTGTGAATGAGATAGCTTTGTTATTAGAGATTGCTTCGTTGTGTTCGTCTATATCGTTGTTATTTTTTTTTCTCCAGTCTTCCAAGGTTGCTATTTATAGCTGGATTGGATAATCTATCCGTTGAATCAAAATAGACTATCCGTTGCATTTGCTGGATTCAATTTTGAATGAAGATTGTGATTGAGGATTCCTCATTGGAGTGGGTGTTTGGACATACCCAATTGTTTGAGGAGGGATTCCTTTTTCCACAGAATCCGTCTTCTAGCTGTTGTTCAAGAATTCTGGACTGTAGAACTTTACTCAGTTTGTCTTCTAGTGCTTGTTTAGGAATTCTGGACGAGCTCTTTAATTTGAGGGGTCCAGACTTTGTTTTCAAATCATTTGTTCTTGAATCAGCTTAATTATCTTCAATCTAGCCGTTGAAAATCAAGAGATTGATTTTTCCTTACCAACGGGTAGAATTTCTTCATTCAAGACTTAGAATTTTTCTAAGTCTTTTCTCACTTGTCCGCTTCTGAGAGTTCCGATTTTTTCTTGAGGCATCCGGTTCTTTTGCTGACAAATCCGGAAGAGTCATTCACAGACTTCCGGGTGAGAAAAAGATCCGCGCTAGTCTTCCGATTTGAATGACTTAGCCTTCAGCGGGTTGTAGCGAGACATCCGGTTATCATGTAGTGTTCCAGATTAGAGGATCTTCATCTGCTTTGAGAAATCCTTACTTGTCTCTGACATTTCCGATCAAGATATCCAATTTCCATATCACAGAGTTTGATTAAGTCTTCAAGCATCAAACCACTTAAAGAAATATCACAACTTTATTGGAAATCTCAAGAACTCGGTTTTAACAATATTTCTAAAAAGAAAAATTACATTGAATATTGGGGGAGGCCTAAAGTCCTTATTACATTCTAAATACATCATCATCAAAATCTATAATATTTTTCCCAACAATAGGCAAGACCCTTCCATTACCGCCGTTGTTGCCGGCAAAACCTTCGGATTCAACACCCAAAACCTTTCCCAATAGTTCCACCTAGAGCATCAAGGAGTCTCCTCTTATTGCAAAAAGGGGTGGATTTCCGACTCACAAGACTTCAACGTGGATTTTTTCCTACGTGTTCTCAACAATATTGCTCTTGACCATGTCTTTGAGGACCCAGACTATTTCCTTTGTCGGCCCAACGTCCAAGACTTGACCGCAAATCGGTTCATTCTCCTAAAAATTCTCAAAGACAATGTCATTCCAGTCCTTAACAAGGATAAACAAGTCGGGATTTATGAATGCACTCTCCTATACCTCCTCCTCACTCACAAGAAAATCAATCTCCCTTCCATCATCATTCAACACATGTACGAGTGCTCCGGTCGCCAAAACAAACCCTATGGTATGCTTCTTACCCACATCTTGGCCAAACGAGGCATTCTTGAGGTGCGCCCTTCCCGCGTTCGCTTTCTTGACGCGGAGTGCCTTGGGTATTGTGGCCTTGTAAAGATCGGAGAGGAATACTACATGAAGAAGGAATTCCAAAAGCTTGATGAGGCGACACGAGCGGAGTATGGCCCTCGACGATCTATGTCATCCTTGCCTTCCACTTCTCAAGCACCCGATTCCGAAGGAAATAACACCACGGAGGTTCTTGTTCATGCTCCTAGGGTCAAACGCTCCAAGTCGGCGTCTCATGCTTCCTCGGCCCCTCTCTTGCATCGTCATTCCCACATGGCCTCCACTTCCAAAAATCCCTTCAAGAAGTTCAAAAAATTCATTCTCAAGACCATGGTGGCTCCGATGAGGAAACTTCAAGAGAGTCTCGATGACCTCTCGGATCGCATGAAGAAAATGGAAGACCGTGAGGCTCGGCAAAAGCAACAAGAGGATTGTGCTTCTAGACGTCGCTAAGTGTTGAGCATTTGACAAAATGATCAAACATTATCTTTTAAAAACCATTATGTATTTTGATTTATGTTTCAAAACCCTTTGTCTTTTCTTATGTTTCAAACTCATATTTATGCACTTATATGACTCAAATCCCTTTGTTATGATTATGCTTATGGTTTGATTGCTTATGGTTTGATGATGCTTATGGTTACTTCAATGCTTATAAAGTTGCCTTGGTGAATGCCTATGTGTTGAAACTTACACTTTTCGTACTGATACGTCCGTTTCGTTCTCATCATTTACATCATATTCTAAACGTTATTGCACGTAAACAATACTTAATCGTATCATAAATTGTGTTTTCAGTATGTAAAACTCTTTATTTTCGTTCTAAGAGTTGTAAAAAGGAATTCCACATGAAATCATCAGAAATCATCCATTTTATTATCAAATGCTTGAGGAATTGGGAATAAATATGTGAAGCATCAAGGTTCAGGCTTGAACAAGCTTCCAAGAGGTCAAAATTGACGTTCGGGCCGAAAAGGAGCGAAATTGGGCCAAAATCTCGCACCAGCCGCGTAGCCCAACGGACCAAGGGCTTAAGGCGTCCAACTTGGATGCTTGGCCATGTTGGATGCTTTGAGTTGGACGCCTGGCGTAAATTGCGCTCCAAGAATGACACGTGGCAAAACCTGGTTGGCCGGAACAGCTCAAGCGTCCTGATCTGGACGCCTAAACTTGGACGCCTCGGACTCTGTCCTATAAATACAGCGCGATTCACCCCATTCTATCATCACTTTTCATTCCTAATTTCAGGATTTGAACCTATTATTCTGTTCTTTTAGTCTATATTATTGTAGAAGTAGTTTTAAAGTATTTCTCATAGAAATTCTGTTCCAGTTCTGTTCTACTCCGCTTTTACAGAAGTTATAAGTTCTCTTTGTTTAATAAAATGATGTTTTAATTTGTGTTTGCATAGTATAAGTTAGGGTCCAGATCTCTAGGTCCGGACTAGTTTGGTTATATATTTTGAATTTTAAATTAATATTGGAATGGTTAGTCAGTTGTTCTTGCCTTATTTAGTTAATTAATATCCGAAGATTTAATTAGCTATTTAGTGAGAAAATATTATTTGCCAAGGGCTATGATAATCAGGATCAACGGATTAAGTACAAGCCTAGGAATAGGTGCATAATAATAGAAATATTATTATTCGAAATGTTAATTAAATATTATAAAGTAGATCCGAATGATGTCCAGACCCTAGGTCCAGATCTGCACTCATACTATGTGAAATTAATTTATTATTTTTACTCTGCTCCTTTTTTATTCGTTCCGAGAAGACTTTCATAAACTAACACTAATCTTCGCCTAATTAGAGTAATTAAATTAATTCCCTTCGTCCACTCCTCAAGAGACACGACACTCGGAGAGAAAACTAACCCTTTACTAGGAAGGTTGATTTACCAAAAAACTACGATCATTACGTACCCCGCCTTTTTGAATGTTGCCAAAAGGGGGAGAAATATTAGGCTTTCATATGTATACATTTATGGGGAGTTTTTTCAAAATCTCACGTGCATCATATACATTTTATACTTAATTTTTTATAAACAAATTGCATCTAAATGCAAAATTTGACATGAAATGATTTTTTTCCTACCCACTTCATGCTCCTAGTATGTGTATACAAACATGAAAAAATATGAATTTTTTCTCACAGTATTTTTCATTAAGTATAAAATGCATATAAAACATCTTAAAAGTACTAAGAAATGAGGGAATAAATATAAACCCTTTAAAAATCAATTTACTACTTTAAAATTAAAAAAAAGTCTTTCACTTGAATTTTTACCTTGAGAATATATGAATTTTTACATGCTCCTAGTATGTGTATTCTCAAGGTATTTTTTCTCATAGTCTATATCTTAATGAAAGGACCAATGATAGGATTTAGCCCAATAAATATGGTGTCACGAAGAACTTCCGCATAAATAATAATTAAACGATATAGATTGAATATATAACTCTTGTATACTTGTATTAGCTTGATTCATCTTGGGTTATAATAGAGGAGAAAGTCTTATATTTATAGTCTAACATTACCATGTTTTTGGTATGCAATTCGGGCACTACAATATTGACTAATCGCTAATCATGTGCAGGGAATTAGTCGTCAATTACCAACGATTGGTGGAATTCTCGCTCCCCGCAATGTGTGATTTGGTTAGTGGATGGGTCGAGCTTAGCCCATTACTTGATCACGTTGCTTGGCCCATCGCATTCTACACCAGGCTTTAAGTATATTCTTTTTGGGCCATGGTATAATAGTTAAGCTTTTCGAGCCTTCGTGGCTGAGTGGTCAATCTAATATCCATCAGTTATCTTTTATCATGAGAATATAAATATGGAGTTACATTCTTATTTTGATACTATCTTCATATTTTACTCCTAATTTAGTTTTTTATGTTGGTGTACACCTAACATGGTTCCACATAACTCCTAATATTTTGATGTGACTCAAGAAAATATTGATGAATGTACAATATACTCTCTCCATCTGTTAGAGTGCATCCCACATCGGAAGTCCAAGAGTAAAATAATCCAGAATATAAGCTCTTGAGTTAAACTAACTAATCGATTGGATTCAATCGATTAGTTAGTTTAACTCAAGAGCTTATATACCAGATTATTTTACTCTTGGACTTCCGATGTGGGATGCACTCTAACACTCCCCCTCAAGTGGACAACCGGGCCATTTTGAATCTGACTGGTTGACCACTTGCAAATGAACTCCCATTCCCTTAATTTTTTTTGAGCGCCAACACCTAAAGGACCACGAGCCACTGGGTATGGACTTCCAGACGAGCAATCGTGTTAAATGGGCCACAGGCCGTTGGATACATACTCCATACGGACAACTGGGCTAAAGACTAACGATCCGCTAGGAATGAACGTCTAGACGGACACCTTGACAAACGAGGTGGGCCAAAACTTGCTCCGATACCATGATAGAATTTGGGATGGGTATGGACAACTCGATTGGGTAATAAAACACTTGGGTTGAACCACACTTGGGTATGGACAACTCGATTGGGTAATAGAATCTTGTCCGTTTGTTAGCCGTCCCATGTGGGAGTCATTCGTCATAATTTCTTGGTTGTTCGATGCTTGGTCAGGCACCTTCGTCCGTTGTTATCGCAACAAATCAAATTTAGTCCGAATTGGTTATCATGGTTTGTTTTTTTCTAGCTTATGTTTTATTATTGTTCAAGTTGTGCATTCGTTAATCTCATGCTCAACTTGAGAGGGAGTGTTAGCAAATGTAATTAAGTTTTGATATTATTGGGCCTGTTAGTGGGCTTGTGATTAGGTTAGAGTTATTTTTGTATAAATAAGGCGTTTGTGATCAATGTAATCATCAAATTTAGTTCTAATTATATTTCTACACCATCCTAGAATAATTGTCCCGTTTGACTTTTTTTATTCAAACTTGAAAGACTTAATCATCAATTACTCTCGATTTGTATTACATATTAATACAATGGAATAAATTTTAGAAAGTTCTAAACAAGTTAAATATATTAAAAATCATTTTTTACTAATATACCTTATAATTTTTACTTAATTACGGCTCAAAATTCATTTTATTTAACTCAAAAAGATGAAAGTAGACAAATACTCTGGGAGTGAGGTACTAATTACTCCCTCCGTCCCAGAAAGAATGCCACGCTTTTCTACAAAAAAGACTTTTTAAATAGGTTATTTTGACCCTTTTCAATCGGTTTTGAACCGATGCAAAAGCCAGCGATGCAAATGCTTAGGATACTTTTTGCATCGGTTGTAAAACCGATGCAAAAGCCTCTTCCCAAAATTGGCGCCAATTTTGGGAAGAGGCATTTGAATCGATTATTTGGTAATAACTGATTCAAAAGCCTCCCTTTTGAATCGGTTATTACCAAACAACCGATTCAAAAGCCCTTTTGCCATTTCTGGGAATACGCCTTTGAATCGGTTATTACGAGATAACCGATGCAAAAACTAAATTTTTTCAAAATGAATTCTTTTGTTGCTCCTGATCCACTACATTTTCAATTTTGCACAGAATTCTGTGCAAAATATACAGATTCAACAACAACAACAATTCAACCCATCAACACAACAACTAACACAAACCAATAACAAACACAAATACATTCACAAATCTCAAATGCCACAAAACAAATTAAACCAAAAAAGTAAACATTTGCATCCACCACTTATACATCTTAAAAAATACCAAGAGTAAAACAATTACTCTTCTAAGTTTTAACAACACAACTAACAATCAAACAACTACACTCTACTAACATACATTTAATACTACAATATAACACAAACTTACACTAGTTCATCGAGAAAACCCCCCGCCCAAAACTCTCTAACCTCTTCTAATTCGGCTCTAGTATAAGGCGAAGTAGACTGAAATACCTGCAATACGAAAACAACATACAACATAAAGTTTAATAATCTATGAAAAAGAAAATGATGATAAACACTTCATTACTTTCAAAAACACACTAAAATAAACTTACATCAGATAACGGTAAAGAACTTTGTGCACACATAGTGACGATGAGCCATAAAAATCGCATGGTATAATAACCACACTCAATGTTCCCTACTTGTTGAGGTACTCCGAGAACATCAACCCAATCCGGTCGAGCCTTAAGCTGAGGCATGTGCCGTTCCCGAAATAACCGCCAAGACCTTTAATATATGTAAAAAACAAATTAATAAGAAATAAATTTCTTAATACTTACTCGTTGACGAAAGTCTTCACCTTCATTTTCTTATGCCCTCTGGTCGCTTTGATTGAATTTAGGAAATACACTTTGTTTTCAAACAAACGTATTACAACTAACACCCAATGATGCCTACAACTAAAAAAGCGTTCTTCACTAACTTAAAATAAAAAACCGAAATACATATTGGAAATGGTTTAGAAAACATATGATATCGATAGATACAACGACATAAGTATCTAGGGTCGCGATTGATAGGTCTCGAGTGCTCTATCCAGATACTGGAGATCTCCAAAATCTACCACGTATGCCATGTTCTCCGGACATAACAACCCGACAGACGCGATGCCGTGCTCCATCATATGATCGTG